TCAGATTTTTAAAATTCTTCCTGATTCAGTTTTGGAAGACTGTATGTTTCATGTAATTTATCTATTACATCCAGATTGCCCACTTTGTTGGCATATAGTTGTTCATAATATTTTCTTACAGTCCTATATATTTCATTGGTGTCAGTTGTAACTTGTCCTCTTTCATTCCTGATTTTATTTATTTTGGTCTTCTCTCTTTTTTTCTTAATGAGTCTGGTTAAAGGTTTGTCAATCTTGTTTATCTTTTCAAAGAAGCTGCTCTGGATTCACAGATCTTTTGTATTTATTTCTTAGACTATTTTATTTATCTATGCTCAGATCTTTATTATTTCCTTTCTTCCACTCATTTTGGGCTTTGTTTGTTGTTCTTCTTCTCATTTCTTTAAGTGTCAAGTTAGGTTGTTTATTTGAGATTTATCTTCTTTCTAGATAGGCCTGAAATGCTATGAATTTTTCTCTTAGAACTACTTTCACTGTCGTAATTTCACCATAGACTTTGGGTTGTTGTGTTCTGATTTTCATTTGTTTCAAGACATCTTTTAACTTCTTCCTTGATCTCACTGTTAACCCATTCATTGTTTAGTAACATGTTATTTAGACTCTGTGTCTTTTTGTGTTTTTCAGGATTTTTTTTCTTGTAACTGACTTCTAGTTTCATACCGTATATCAGAGAGGATACTTGATATGATTACAAAATTGTTAAATTTTGTGACTAGCATGTAGTCTATCCTATAAAATGTTCCATGTGCACTTGAAAAGAATATATATTCTGCTATTTTGAGGTGAAATTCTCTTAAGATATCAATTAAATCCATCTGATCTGGTATGTTATTTAAGGCTGCTGCTTCCTTGTTGGTTTTCTGTCTGGAAGATCAATTCAGTGAAGTCAATGGGATTAAAATCTGCTACAATGATTGTATCGCTATTGATCTCTTCCTTTATATCCACCAAGATTTGCTTTGTATATTTAGGTGCTCTTGTGTTGGGCGCATAAATGTTTACAAGGGTTACATCCTCTTGTTGAATTGCTCCCCTTTATCATTATGTTGTGTTTTTGTCTCTTACTATAGCCTTGGTTTTAAAGTCTATTTTGTTGGATGTAAGTATTGCTACACCAGCTTTTTATTCATTGCCATTTGCATGAAATTATCTTTTGTAGTCCCTTTACATCTAGTCTGTGTGTATCTTTTATTCTGAGGTGGGTCTCTTGTAAGCAGCATATGTATGGGTCTTGTCATCTTATCTACTCAGTTTCTATGTCTTTTGATTGGAGCATTTAAGACATTTGAAGTGATTATTGATAGAAACATATTTATTACCATTTTATTCTTTTAATTATGTTCCTTTGTCTTCTTGTCCTCCTCCCCCTTCCTCTCCCTCCTCCTCCTCCTTCTGGGAGCTACCCTGTAGTAACAAACTTTGTCTTGGTGCTTTTAAGATTCTTTTTGTCTTTAACCTATGCTGTTAATTAAGATGTGTCTTGCTGTGGGCCTCTTTGGGTTCATCTTGTTTGGGACTCTGTGCTTCCTGGACTTGAGGGCCTTTTTCCTTCACCAGACTAGGGAATTGTTCAGTCACTTTTCTTCAGATAGGTTATTTATCCCTTGTTCTGTCTCTTCTCTTGCTGGTATCTCTGCAATGTGGATGTTGTTACATTTCATGTTGTCCCATATGTCCCTTAAACTATCCTCATTTTTTAATTCCTTTTTCTTTTTGCTGCTCTGATTGGGTGTTTTCTGCTACCCTGCCTTCCAAATTGCTGGTTCAATCCTCCACTTCATCCAACCTACTGTTTGTTTCTCCTACTGTATTTTTCATTTCAGATACTTCAGTCTTCATTTCTGGCTGATTCTTTTTTATGGTTTCTAAGTCCTTTTCCATGCTGCTGTAGCTCTCACTAGGTTCCTTGAGCATCCTTATAACCATTTTTTAAAACTCTGTATCTGATCAATTGCATGCCTCCATTTCATTTAGCTCTTTTTCTGAAGATTTCTCCTATTCTTTTATTTGCAGTATGTTTCTTTGTCTCCCCATTTTGGCTGCTTCTTTGTGTTTGTTTCCATGTATTAGGTAGACCTGCTATGACTCCCAGTCTGGTAGGGTGGCCTTTGGTAGTAGGTGTCCTGTGGGACCCAGTAGCACAGTCTTTTTGATTACCTGAGCTGGGTTCTCCAGGAGTGTCCCTTGTGAGGGTTATGTGGGCCTTCCTGTTATAATTAAGTCTTGATTGCTATTGTCCTGTTCATGCATGGGGTTGACCCTCTTGCTGGCTGACTGTGAGGATCTACCCTGACCATAGTGCATGAGCTGCTGTGCAGGTGCTGACCACACAAAGTGGATTTTGTCTCAGCATGGTCTGATGCCTGCTGAGATCTCCTTTTGATATGGCACCTGTGAAGCTAATTGGATCATGCTCTGCTGTTGTCTGAAACTGGCCACTGGGTGTGTTGGTTCTAGGGCCTGTTGAGAGGAACTCTGGTGCAGACCAATGTCAGACATTGGCTATGACTGGCCCTGGGCAACCTGTTTGGAGCTACAAAGCAATCCACAGTTTGTGGCTGTCTCTGCTGGGCCTCAGTGTACATGGGAAGGACCAAGCTGCGCACCAAGTTTGGCTTTTATGAGCACCAGGCCCAGGGGTAGTTCAGAAAAAGTCCCAAGGCATCTTGAGATTTGCTTCTGCCTGCCTCCGCCTGCCAGATGTCTATTAGGCTCAGTCACTGTAAGAACCTCTGGTGGCTCTCGAGTTGCGTAAGGTGGGTTCTCAATGTATCACCAGGTAGGCGCAAGTGGTGTTCACCAGACTGATGCAGGTTCAAACTTGGTGCCAGTGCTGGGTCTGAGGCCACTCAGGAAATGTCCAAGGGTACACCAAGTCTAGGTGTTACCCTCTGGGTGCTTGCACACCTTTGTAGTGGGATGGGGGTTTCAGGGAGCCATCAGGCTGAGGCCAATACGTTTATCCACCCCTAACAGACAAAGATTTGGTTGGGTGAAGGAAGGGCTCCGCACTGAGCTGGCATGTGAGGGAAAAATGTCCCCCATCCTGAAGCCACACAATTCATTCTGTCCCAGATTCTTCCACGAGCTTGATCTTAGCAGGAAAGGGTTGCCAGGAGTCAGGAGGATAGGCTGGTGAATCTCCCAGTAGGGAACAGTAATCATCAGGTTTGGGAAAGGGTAAAGGAAGTGGTCCCCTGCCCCAGGCCCACACAACTCAGTCTGTCCCGGGATTCTTCCCAGACCTTAGCTGAGGGGAGCAACCAGGAGTCCTGAGGCTGTGGCTGCTGGGAGCCTGAAGTGTGGGTCTAGTAGGTCCCCGTGGAGTTGGGGGGGTTCCTGTCAGGTTTGCAGGAAAGTGGAAGGAATGGGCCCAAAGCTACACTATTCAGTCACTGATACTCACTGAGTTGCCCAGACCTCTACACCCCAGCCCAGGCAGCTGACTCCTCATCAGGGTGCAAGCTCCACAGGGTGGGGCTATAGGGAATCCATAGTGCAGGGCTATTCTATTCCCCCAGGCTGATGACCTATGCAGGGGAGTGCTCCATGCAAGAAAAATGGCATCTGCCATTGAAAGCGTGATTCAACAGAAGGAACCTGGTGGCTATCCCTTCAGCTCTCTCCCCATAGCCACAAACCCAAGTCTTTCCTCATACAACTCCAGTCTAATCCACTCTCCCTCTGCTGAAGCCCACCGTGAGTGGCTGAGACCAAAATTTTGTGCACTGGACCTTTAAGAGGGTACCTGTGGGCTCTGGCGGGGTACCTCAATTGCTTAAAGCATCATCCTGATACACCAAGGTTGTGGGTTTGATCCCTGGTCAGGGCACGTAGGTGATTCAATATATGACTACATAAATAAGTAGAACAACAAATTATCTCCTCCTCACCCCCTACCCTCCCTAGAATAAAAAGAAGGTGCCTATGTCTCTAGCAGACTCTCGTCTCTTCCAAGTAGACAAAATCCCTGTTGATTCTCACAGCCAAATGTTACGTGGGCGCCTCTTTCTAGCTCTGATGCTCTGGGATGGAGAGTCTGGCTTTGAGTTGAGATCCCACACTTCTCAAAGGGAACTTTTGCAGCTGAGATATCCCTCTGGAATCTCAGCTGCTGCCCATGGGAACTGAGCCAGATCTTTTCAAGTCTCTGCCCTTCCTACTAGTCTCAGTGTGGCTTCTCCTGTAAAGCCTTGCTTATAAGACTTCTTTTCAACTAGTCTTCAGGTGGTTATTCAGGTTAATTGCTCTATATTTTAGTTGTAATTCCAGTTTGGTCCTTGGTGGAGGTGAATGTAGTTTCCACCTACTCTTACCACCATCTTAGATCCGATCCAGCTCTTGTAATTCCCCTCACCCCAGCCTCTCAAGGGTAAATGTACAGATTCACATTACAGCTGCACCATGTCAACGTCCCTCTCTGGCACCTTTCTAAGCACTCTCGTACTCACTTGGGCATCAGTAAAGTGTACAACCTATTATCACTGGGAGAGAACATGGAACAGCAGGGCGAACTGCAAACACTCCAAGCCATTAATCACAAATCAATAAATATGAAGGATTCCCATGAAGAAAATGAGTTTGTTTCCATTTCCAATTCCCACTGGGGGAAGTGAGCCACAGTGCTAAAACTCAGAACTCAGGAGCCACGCCTCTGCTCTGTCCAGGCCTCTATCATGACATTTAAATGTCTGTTTAGGCACCGGACCACGTAAGAAGTTTGGGAAATGCCTTCCCACAAAAGAGATACTGAAGCATTCTTCTGCAGTACTTCCTTCTTAAATATATTCATTCTGAGTTTTCCAAATGAGAGAAACCCTCCATTGGAAACAAATGTGTCAATTACCTAGACATGATCATTCTTAGCTGCAACACACGAGATCCCAGGTCTCCACAGTTCAGTTTGTGGTTTGGTGATTGAACTTTTGAGATATCTCTTTGCAGACAACTTTTTGAAACAGAGTTTTATTAAGATTTCAAGAAGAGAAGGAAACTCTCACCTCACAGTACTCCGTGATAATGCAGAAAGTATCTTGCTCTACAAAGCTTGCGTGGAACTTGACAATGGCTGGGTGGTTCAGCTTGGAAAGGAGCTGGGCCTCCAAACTGGCCTGCACAGTCTCATTTGGATTGAGCTCTCCAACAGAAATTTCCTTCAATACCTTTCTGCAGCCAAAAAAATTTTAAATACATTTAGAGCTAAAAGAAACACACACACACATTTAATAGATCCAAACAACTGGTGCACAGCCATCTAATTAATACCCAGGCTGTGACCTACTCACACATCTGGTATTGCCTGTTACAACACTGTGTCTCCAGGTGGTGCCTGGGCCTTACCTCTCCATCCTAGCCAGTGACATGGCTTCCCCGAGGCCTCTAATCTCCACACCTGTGACTCTACAGTTTGGGTCAAATGGGGCAGAGATGGAACATCATCATTGCAGTGCACCCCCCTCTGTCTCTCTAGATATCTCCACTTCTCTTTGTTATTTGCATGGTGGCTCTGTTTCTGTTTGTCTTTTCCTGTCTCTCTGTGTTTTTTCTCTTGCATATGTTTTCCTCTGTTTCTGTCTCTGCTTTTCAATTTCTCTCTGTTTCTATCTTGGTGTCAATATCTTTTCACCTCTGTGTCCCTTTGTGTGTGTGTGTCTCTCTCTGTATGCAAATATAATGTAATATAATAAAATGCAATATAAGTATAATATGTCACTGTCTCTGTCTCTTATTCTTGCTGTGCCTATCTCTTTCTCTCTGACTCTCTCCCTCTGCCTGTGTCTCTCCGCCTCTGTGTGTGTGTGTGTATAAGACACATAACACACAAACACATATACACACATGCTTCTCTGTCTTTAAGCTCTAAAATTTTCCAAATCTATGAATAGGACAATATCTATGTATTTTATTTTTAAACTATTCTTTGCATAGCATATTTTATTACTACTGATGTTACAAGAAGAGAAAAATCTAAAGACATTTTCAGAGGTATTTAGGATCTTAAGCATATATAAGTGGAACAAAAACCCATTAAATCTCCAAATTATTAATTTTAAAATTGTAACAACTCAATGAGTAGTGGACGAAAACATTATTTCTTCCCATCCAAGAAAAAAGTAGTCTGCTGAACAAACTAATTACGGTACCAGAGTATAAACTAGATTGCTGGGGAGAAGCACTCCAGAGCACCGATTAGTGTACAGACAGATTCCACTGATTATGAGTGAGCCGTAGCTGTTCATTAAGGCAAGTTCTGCAGGACCTGTACTAGAAATCATTTTTCCAAAAAATAAGTTCTTTAAGAGTTACCTCCTATGCATATTAATAAAAATGTACTTACATAGAAACTCTCTTAAATAAAGGTCCCTTAACCAACTCATGGATTAACCAGAGTCCTCCAGCCCCTCCTAACAGATGCTGACAGGGCCTTTCCCCAAGGGAACGCCTGGGGCACGGAGGTGCGCCCTGGCACACCCATTTCTGTCCTGCAGTTGAGAGGCATGTGCCTACCCGAGTCACTGTGTTTGTTCTCACACTTGTTTATGCCCGTTATGAAAATTATTGTAAATCTGTGACTAAAATATGACAAACTGATGAAGGATAAGTGTGAAAATTATCTTTGCTAGGAAAACTAAGTCAAACGCTTACCCAAAAAACTGACAAGTTGCAAAACAATGTGGTTAAATAAGTAACTAACAAGACAATACTAAAACATTGGTTTAAAAATGTAAAAATCCACTATTCTTTTTAAACGTTCTTCATGGTGCTCCCATTCTGAATTCACCCCACCCCGAAAAGACAGCCACAGCAGGCGCCGTTCCCACAACGACAGGACGACTTCGAGGCTCTGCTCTGGCATTTTCAAGTCTTTAACTGTGACTGCAATTCAGAAAGTTGGAATATTTGGTTCTCTTTCCCTAAATGTGCTTTCACATTGGTTTTGTTAATTATAGGATACCCTATCAGGCTCCTATTGATAATGAAGTATACTCTAGAGAAATGCTTGCTTGGTAACATACGTTAGGGACAAACTTCTTTGAAGAAACTGGTTAAAAATGATCTCATGTTATTAGGAGTGGCATCTCAGATTGTTAGTATACTAGAAGGAGCTTGAAATGACATACCCAGTTGTGTTTTTCTGTAACTCCTGAAGAGTACAAAGCAGCAGGCAGAGCTCAGTGACGTCTTTGCAGTGCTTGCCCAGTCAACTATTGTGCCCTGGCTAACGTGCGGTTATACCAGCCACAGTGGTTAAGCAAGACAATAGAAAGGCTTACACAGACCTGTACTACTCTCTCGCTGTGCAGGACCAAACACTATGAAAAGGTCTAACATACTTGTTTTTTCTCTTCGCAAACATCAACCATTGTCTAACAGGGCATGAGATTTTATATACAGTTACCTGGGCCTTACCTGACAGCCTGATGACAAAGCATAAAATCTGATTTGCCCACAGCTTGGCAGGTAGGACTATTAAGACAGGTGATATCCAGTATGATCATCTCTGGCTGACACGGAATCATCCTACCTTCCTTCCTTACCTAAAATTGTGTCACTGAACTGACAGAGGGAGCTCTCGTTGCATGTCACGGAAGATGAGATCTGTATCAGCCAAAGAAAGCATGGAAACTTACTGAGTCAAGGACAGCTTGTCACCTGCTGAGTGACTCTCAGCCTGTCACCCCCTCCTAAATAGCATGATGGATATTTACTTTATCAGACTCTCAACTGTTCAGGAGACATTTATGACAGCAGCAAAAACGGATATCCCAGCAGACTCATTTTGCAAACATTCTGTTCTCTCTCCTGAGTGTTATTCTTCTTTCTTTCTGGAATCAGCAGTGTGATGACAAAATCTGGAGAGTGACACTGGAAATCTGGGATAACCACAGCTAGTTTCATTCCCTTCGAATCTGCCCACCTTTCATACACATAGGATAGATGACACTATTGAGATGTTAAGCAATGGTTGTTTTTCCCCAGATTTCCTCATATCTTTTCACATTTTCCCCACTTAAGCTGCAGTAAATGGGAAAAGGCGACATCACAAACTACAGAGAATGAGTCAAATCCTTGCTTTTCACTTTCATTAAAGAGACCAAGACCAAAGATAAAAGACGTGGAGGAACACCTGACCAGTGGGTGAGTGTCCTCCCTTCTCCCAGGTGAGAAAGAGACCCTCTGGACCAGATGAAGGGAAGCAAGAAAGTTAGGCACTGCGGAGCCCTTGAAAAGAGGTCATGACCCTTGGCTGGGTCCACAGAGCAGTATAGAAATAGAACTCCAAGACGGGTAGGGGATCCTAAGGGCAGAAAACCTGTGCTCTTTCCAAAGGAGGCCATAGAAAATAGCAGGACTCTCGTGATTCCTGGAGTTCAGGAGGTGCCAGGAGTGAAAAAAGGTCTTCAAGGGGAAGATAAGCTGATGGGCCTAACAGAGCTCTAGAGTCTCCAGTGAGGATTGGAGAAAGATGTCCCATGTAGCCACAACCATCTCAGTGACAGCCAGGCAGCTGGCGGGGCTGGCGGACTTCCCGGTTAGCCTACAGATAACTAGCTATGGTCCCTTCCCTTGTGATTTTACCATCAACAACCAGGTGCTGTGAGTGTAGAGTAAAAGCCTACCACGCATCTGTGGGGTAGTGGGCACTGGGTATTCACGGTCCCTGCCCTTGTGTCTCCTGGGAAAGACAGATACTAAACAGATAAGAACGCACAAATGTGTGTATATATGTATGTTTGTATTTTTAAAAACTAAATCGAGACAAATGCTATAAAGTGAAGGTAAGTGGGGACTGAGGTGCTCCTGATTTAAGATGCTGTGACTCTCTAATGTGATTAACAGCTAGTGCACCCACTTAGGGCAATGCCACAGGAGATAGATTTTTAACCTCAGCTTAAACAAGAAAGTAATTTTTTGCTTACTTGATTTTTTTTTGATTCAGCATTTACCTGTTCAACAGAGAGAAAAATAAATCCGCTCAGGACTTAAGATAGAGTTTTCATTCCTTCAGCAAGGCAGCAATTATTTTAATTAATTCTTTTTCAATTGGTAATCTTTCATTTTTTCTAGCTTATAAGGAAATACAATTTCATTATAGAAATGTTTGAAGATGAAGCATAAGGAAAGTATCACTCACAATTCACCATTAACATTTCTGTGTATTTCCATCTTTTTGTTACACATTTTTTTTTTAATAGTAGAGGCCAGTTGGCACACTTTGCCTGCTGCTATTTTCATGAGACAGTATCATAGTTGACACTTGTCATTTGTGGCCACCCAGCATCTTTAAACAACCTCCTTACAACTGTAGTAGATCCCTGGACTATGGGTCCTGTCTTCCCCAGAGAGATACAAACAGACAACAAACAAACCCTACATCTTCCACCTTCCTTGAGTTGGGGTGCCAGTATCTAACCTGGGCTCCCCCAGCCAGCTATACCCATCCCAGACTTTGCCTTGGGTGTGAGCTGTGTGAAGAAACAGGGCAGACACAGGGCCTCCCTTTTGCTAATATAGGTGTCACGAGAAAGAGCACGGCCCTGGGGAGTGGCAGCAGATCGCTTCAGTGGTGTGGTTCTGGCTGATGTTCCTGGAAACTCAGGTGTCAGCCCACTCCCCCCAGCCCTCTCACTGCCACTGTGCTCATCTGTATGCTGGCACAAGTCCTTTTCTGCTTAACCTGTGCAGAGGGTGGCTGCTCTTATCTACTCCTGGGAGTCCTACCCAGTGCGGTTATAAATGACATAAGCACATTTAGGCATTAACATGAATCACTGTAGATATTTTGGGATAATGAAAATTGAATGTCCAAAGGTTTGACTCATTAGGTTAATTTTTATTTATTTATTTGAGTCTTAAAATGTCAAGATCTTCTAAGAGATTTAAGGTCACAGTATTTCTCATTTACAGGTAGGAATATCATGCATGATAGTGGGAAACATTATTTTGAAAGTTATTTCATGCCCTTCAGTATGGCATACAACTTTAAAATGTAAAGGGCGTGAAAATGTAATGTCAGAGAGTGATATGTATTCTGAAAAGTGGCAGATTGATAAAAAAATGCAAAAGCCAATTATCAACAAGATAAAAACAACAAGTGTTAGAGAGGATGGAGAGAAAAAGGGGGCCTATACTCTGCTGGCAGGAACGTAGATTGGCAGCTGCTA